GATTGAATTTTCCTACTAATTGTCTCCAGTGAAGTTCGAAAGGATTTGTTGCTATAGCAATACTTTGTGTTGATTCAGAAATTAATGATAAAAGAAGTGGCAATTAGTACTATTAATTTTTATGAGAGAAACACGGTAGAGTGCTAAAAGGCTTTTGGCCAAAAGAAAAGCAGTAAGATTTTGCACAAGTGATCAATATAGAGCTTGCAGCTATAAAACCAAGCATAATGGGTATTTCATGCTTCAGTATGTGCAGCATGAACAGTGCTGCCTGAACACCCTCAGATGGACCCAGCCCCTGTTGTGTTTCAGGAAATCCTTAAGAGAGCACAGGAATGAGGCTCCCTTCACAATTAATGGCACCCTGTGAGACAGGGACATTAGTATAAGGGGACTGCAGACTTGACCTGCAAAGGGTCCCTTTACATCTCACATAGAGCTGTAAGGCACATGAACAGCCTTCATGGCATATGGCTCCAGTACACCTGATATTGTCAAGTAAGATAGTATGGGATGGAACAGTACAAATGAACACAGCTAGAGCTAAGCAGGCATACAACATTGCATAATACACCTTACCCAACCACAGGTATTGTGATCAGATCATTTTCTTTAACAGAAGTGAGGCAGAGCAGAGGCATGTGTTGGAAACTCCAAGCTGCCTGTTCTTTCTTAAGCCCTTCCAAAAAAAAAAAAAAAATTCTCAAACTTCTATGAATTTACAAGTGGGAAACCTCTGACTTTTTGTATTACAACCCTTTGCATGTCACAGTTAATCTTTTCCCATAGGGATATACTGGGAATGCAGAAGGACAGGTTATCATTCACACATGGTGAAAGATTATCCTTACACATCATCACACCCTGCCCTGTCATTCAGAAGAGGGGAAAAAAAAAAAAAAATCAGAAATATTCATTTTAGAGCACAATTCCATCAACTGCTGGATGCAACTGGACAATCCTGTATCCCCCAACCACATTCACTACCCTGACAAGAACTTGCTACAAACTAGCAAAGCAACCACAACCTATTGGAAATCAACACCAGTCATAGTGTTCGCAACAGAGACTGGGCAAATTATGAGATGGTTGATTTGCATGGAGCTCTTTCAGTACTGTGGCTACACTGCTGTATTGCGTCTAGCAAAATAAAAAACAAACCAACCCTGAATTTGCTTGCAGGAATGTTTTCAGATTTAAACAGTTAGGGGTTTGTTTGCTCCAACTTTAGAACTAAAACACGGAAAACAGAGGAGGAAAGGTAATGGCATTGACAAGTGGCCACATTTTTGAATCATATCCAGGAAAACATTTTCCCATAATCCATACTGTAGCTGTATTATTAAATATTTCTCTGTAACTATCTCTATCAAGATTGATTTCCAGAAGTATCAAAGCGCCTCTAGCTCTCATTTCAGCAACTGAAAATTTATCATTCATAACACAAATTACATCTTTTGGTTTTCAAAAAAAAATCCAACCATAGAAAAGACCTTGCCTTTAGTTTACAAATGTTTAATAAACAAATTCACTTAAGCCTACTTTCCTTTACCCTAATTGGTGCCTCCACCAAGAAACCGCATACTTGGAATAGATGAGAGGGTTAATCTTCCATCCTCTCCTATTTTACACACAGTAATTTCAACAATTAGAGAATCAAGTAGAATGGCTTTTCCTTGCCCTCACTCAATCTCCTAGCCAGGCCTGCATGCAGAAAGTTGTGTTCTGATGGCACTCAATCAAGGCACAAGGAGTAGAGTGTTGCAGCATGCTCTTATCGTCTCTTAAAACATAAACAACTCCAAAGCATGAAATCCCATTCTAAATTTGGCATGCAATGCTTATACTAAATTCATTTATTCCATTTTGCACCCAAACACTATCAGGAACATACCACAATATATATTCTACAACACTCTCTGCTGGATGGACTTAGAGGCACAGTTTGTGCATCTAGAGGTGCAGCTGATATACACCCTGCTCAGCATCTCTGACAGTTTCACATGCTACAGCAGCCGTGCAGCCTAGAAGAACTGATGTTCTTCTACTGAATGAAGACACAGAATGAAGTCACAGAGGCCACAGCAACACTGTTGAATGAATTCGCAAATCGAACTACTTTTAGTGTTAACCAGACTTTTTCTTTTCATTCCAAACTTACAGATCCATTGAAACATCTATTACATATTCACAAACAGCTGAGGATACTGAGATGGCATTGCATATCCTCTCCCACATATTCTTATCCATACTGCTCCTTATTTTAAAGCCAAATTATGTCTTCATTAAATGAAATGCTGCCACTACAGTCAGGGATACTAATAATATTAGTAAACTGTTCTATCCTATTAGGTACTAAACTCAGCAACCATGCATTTACATGCAGCAAGCAGAGCTTTCATTGCCTTCAAGTATCTCACAGGCACTTTGTCTTATCCTCAGAGCACTGCCTCTTCTTAAGGGCAAACAAGCTGTAATATGATAACGGACAAAATTACTTAAGGTCATCCAGATCACTTCAAACTCTCTTCTAGTGTCAAGCACCTTTTGCACCACTTCCCCTTCCTCTTTGAGTCACATAACACTCTGTAAGCACGGTAACTGCCAGCACAAAGTATGCATTTAGGCTTTCTGTCTGCTAAAATTGAGACTGGAGGAGAAGGAAAGGTGTAAACGTAAGAACCATAAAGTTGTAATAGTTATGTAGAAGAAATTTCTGCCTTAGTCCTCACAAGTTCTTTTCTTTAGCATTTCAGGATTTGATCCTGAAAACATTAATAACACTAAAATTTAAACATTAATTCAAGAAAAGGAGGTTGGAGAGTTTTAAAGCAGCAACTATAGTTTTAGAATGAAGCATCGTGTGATAACTTTTTAGACCAGCTTACAAATTAACCAAGACATTTTTATTCTTAATACTAATACTTCAAAGTGCAATTTAAGACGCCCATTGAGCACTATGCCTGTGATATTTTATATTGTCATAGTTGGTTTTCACCAAAAAAACTACTTCTGAGACTGCTACTCTAAAATACATTGATCAGTTGTTGGATGCAGACTACATTACTATGACTGAGATGAAGTCTAAATTTCTTTCAGTAACAGAAGTACAAATGGATTGCATTTGACAATATACAGATGCATGATACAAAGTAGGCAACTGGCTTTCCTCTCCAAGTTACTATTCATCCACTTTAAAAGTGACATGAATTTGCACCTCACAACAGTTTCTGCAATGAATTAGGTTCTATTTCTTGTGAATGAAACATGAAAGGCTACAAAACTGAATTGCTGGGTTAGGTGGAAGAGTGCAGCTGGTAGAAGAAAACTTGCAACCTGTTTTGATACAGCTGGCAACAAGTCAAATGCATTTCATACTGGATTATCCCCGGAGTATTTCACTGCTTTGCTACTAAAAATCAAACAAAACTGCTACATCCAGTACAGTCCAAGAGAACGGTTTTCAGTGTTTCAGTTCAAGTCAACCATTCTTGTTCCATAAAGCTGGTTACCCTCTTAACACGCAAACAGCACTAAAGTAAAAATACATCACTTTGAATGAAATTCAGCACTGGAAAATTCAATCTTCATATTGCTTTACAGGACAACAATGTACATGTAAAAACTTCTGCTAATAACAGAACTATTAAAAATAAAGAAAAATTAAAAAAAAAAGAGAGAAAAACATGGAAACTTTTTAAGACACACAGCATCAGATAAAGCCTGCAATACTTCTTCATGCCATGGAGACTTGCTACGGTACGAGTGACCAGCTTGCTTCAGTGCTGAGACATGTTTCCGAAAGCCACCGGGCTTCCATTCTCGACAAAGCAGTGTTACCTGCTGCAGTCCTGATCCAACACAAGTAAGAAAACCAAACACTGTCAGATTAAATATACAGAAGCAGATGAAATAAAACCAATACATCATTCACTCGCTTTGAAGCATATAGGCATGCAAATAAAAAGTATTAACATTTCAGTCAGTGTAGGGTGTAAACACATGACAATTTATTACTTGGGCAAAAACAGCCTCAGGACATACCCCTGGCTTTTGTTTGCTATTTTTCAAAGTTTCTCAACCTGTGTCAGCAATACTGAAGTTACAGTTCTGTCTGTGACTACTGCTATATATGGTCAGCACAGATATTTGCTGGGATTTGCATTTTTCCAAAAGTAATCCCAGACAATCAGAAGGCCGTTAATCAGCAATAACACCCACAAGAGCAGATCCATAGCCCTGCACACGTGAGCCCTGAGACTTCCACAACGGCTAGATCTGGTTTTCAGTAAATACTTCGGCTCTGCCTCAGACGCTCCTGTGGGTGCGCTGGCAGCGCACACCCTGCCTGCCGATAGCTTCCCTAACTCCCGCTGAATGGCAGCCCGCACCCTGGGACGCGGCCCCGAGGAGCTGCGTCTGATCCAGAGAAGAGGCACACCGCCCAGCGCGCGGAGCCGCGGCGGGGCACTGACCAGCCGGGGGAACCGCGCACCGCCGCACTGCCCCGCACGACAAGCCCAGCACCTAGCATCACGTCTAACCGAGCTCCGGAGCTCTCGGTGCGAGCCGCCACAGGACGGGACAGTCGTGCTGTGCGACCGCGGCCCCCGCACCCACCGGAGGGGCGAGCTCACAGACGAGCACGGCGGGGCGGCCGGCAGCTCGCCTCGCTGAGCAAACCGGCCTCTCCTCCGAACCCCTGCAGGGAGGGCAGCCCCGCCGCGGTCCGAGAAGCCCCCGGCGGCTGCCGCCGCTTCCGCAGCCCCAAGTGCAGCTCCCCAACCCGGGTGGAGAGGGAGCAGCAGGAGGGTACTGCGGCTCCCCAAGCCGCCCCGCCGCAAGGACCATTCTCGCAACTTTCTCCGCGAGGAGCCCCGCTGCGCTGCTAGCCCGGGTGGTCCCGCACGCCGCTCCCCTCCACCGGCACCCCGCCCATAAAAGAGGAAACACAAACAAAAGCCCCTCAGACCCTCCCAAACCGGCGTTTCTTTTCCTACCTGCCCGGTTCCCGGCGACGCTGCGCCGCCAGCTCCGCGCCGAGCCGAGCCGGGCGCTTCCCGCGGCGCCCAGGTGGCGTTAGGAGCGCGCTTCCCACGGGCGGCGCGCCCCCGGTGGCCGGCACATCCCCCGCCGGACGCCGCCGGGAGGAGGGCGCTGCGCTCCCGCCGCCACCGGCGCACCTGTGCCCGTCCGGGCAGGGGCAGCGGGAGCGGCAGCGGCACCCTCAGTCTCGCCCGCCGGCTGGGCGGGGGTGCTCCGGGACCCCTCGCCCTGCGCTGGCCGCTGCCACCCTCCCCATGCAACCACCACACGAGGAGCACCCTGACTCCGCCGCGCTGCTCATTGGCCCACCCGCCGCTGACCTCACAGGGCCCAGCCCCGCCCCTCTGGCCCAGCTCGGTTCGGGTGGGTGCCCCTGGGGCTGCCCCAGCGGGAGCGCGGAGGCGGTGGCATCAAGGGGACGGCGGAGGGTCTGTGGCCACCGCGCGGCACCTCCGAGGCGCGATGCCGGGTGTCCGGAGGTCCGCAGCGGCCCCGAAGCGGTGGGACTCTGCTTGGGGTGGCGCGGAGGAGTTCTGCCCGCGCCCCCCGCCCCTGGGTGCAGGCGTTCAAAACAGAGGTTTGCAGAAACCATCCCCTGCCTTTGCAAACTGCCTGCGGGGCAGAAAGGACTCACCGAAATGAGACTGTGCGGAGAAGGGAAGTCTTCCATTAGTCTGCAACGGTTTCTTTTTTTTTTTTTTTCCCTCGTATCTATTTTTATTGTGGTTAATTGAGACATACAAGCAGCTGTTGCTTGAAGATTGTGGTCCTGTTTGTGGAAAGTAAATAATTTTCTGCTGCATATTAAATATGCCTCTTAATGGGGCGTGTAACATCAGCCAAGTCAGATATCATCATAGAGCTCTGTAATATATGTTAATATGGTAGTGCTTCATTACTAGCAGTCTTTCAAAAGACATGCTTTAAATATTCTTCCCTTTCAGCTAATCAGCGTATGCTGTGAACTTCCAGAAAGCTAAATAATGTATTAATGCACAATTAAAACATGTGGAACCAGAAGAACATATTTTTCACATTTCAGAAGATCCTGTAAATGTACATGATACGTCAAACTGAGTTGTCTCTCTTCCATGTTTCTTCTGTCATAAAAGATTAATAAATGTAACTTGAAATTGTTTGGCACAAAAAAAGTTAAGAGTTTTACGCTTGTCTTTGTGATCTGCATTTCTTGCCCTAAGTTGCTATGAAGAGAGGGTGAGCGAGCTGGGCTTTTTCAGCCTGGAGAAGAGAAAGCTCTGGAGAGACCTTACAGCAGCCTCCCAGTACCAAGAGGAGGCCTACAGGAAATCTGGAAAGGGACTTTCTACAACGGCATGTAGTGACAGGACAAGGACTAATGGCTTTAAGATGGCAGAGGGGAGATTTAGATTAGGTATTGGGAAGAAATTGTTTACTCTGAGGGTGGTGAGGCACTGTAACAGGTTGTCCAGAGAAGCTGTGGCTGCCCCATCCCTGGCAGCATTCAAGGCCGAGTCGGACAGGGCTCTGAGCAGTCTGGTCTAGTGGGAGGTGTACCTGCCCACGGCAGGGGGTTGGAACTAGAAATTTAAGGTCCATTCTAACACGAACCATTCTATGATTCTATGACATAACAGAGCTGGGTGTGTTCTGTTTGCCTGCTGGTGTATTTCTTGGTTACACAGAAAAGTTTACAAACTGGTGCTCTGGAAAATATAAACAAAATGGCGATGTGTACTTCAGAGGGTTCTAATTCTCTATCAGTTTTCTAAATAATACTATTTCCATTGCCTGTTACTCTCAGAAAGAAAATTTAAAAGCCTGGGGTATGACCTGCACCTCACCGTCATGGTGAGGAAGTGTTACCTGCTGGCCAATGGTTCTTTTCATTTCTGCTGCAGCAGCACAGCCAGCCCTGGCTGTTGGGTGGCCTCAGTCCCCTGCACCCCGACTGCACTGGGATTTTCACAGAACATGTCCAGGGATCCTCAGTGACAAGTGGGCATGACCAGAGCCTGTGAAAGAACATATGCAATTTTGTGTACTAAAGTTTTCACACTTAAAAAGATAAGCTATGAATCTGCTGGTTTTCAATGAATTCAATGAGCAGTTCATCACGCTCTAAAAAATACCCATGGGATGAGAAAGAAAAAAAAATTCTTATACATGGAAAAAAAAATCGAGATTTTGGTGTGCAAAGATTCTTCTGTTCTTAAGCTCTGCATATGTTTACTTTACTGCCCATCTTTGTTTTCCCTTTTACCTTGCACCTAAAAATAGTGCCAGAATTCACTCCGTACGCTGTAGCGCTAGGCTGGGGTTTCAGAGCAGCTCAGAGCCCCATGGCGTGATGGAATCATCTCAGGTCACCGTTCAGAGTATAGTTGCCCTTGGAGTTTCTGCACCTCAGCACCCCTGCATGGTGGAGGTGTGGTCACCAGATGCACCTCTGTTTCTTAAGATTATATCACAAACAGTGTATTTCTTTTTTGTCTAGTGAAGCTGTAGATAGTTTGACTGTCTTTTCCCTTCTGTCTCTTTTATTAGCTGTCACATTTTTTCAAGGGCTTCCCACTTGTGAGCACACAAAACATAGCTAAGATGATCTCAGGTTGAGGTGGATAATATATTAACACATAAACCATCCATATGGGGGGGTAAAAAAATCCCAAATGGTAAATCACAGTATAATTAGATCAAGGTCAAAAAGTCCGCAGCTTTGTGCCTACCATAACCTCATCAGTTTCTGAGGTTGTGGCAAAAATCATCTATGTATATAGTGCAGAATGTTTTTTAGAAAATACTTTAAAAAAAAAAAAAAAGATTCAAAACAAGCTGAGATCAGCTTGGCTTTGAATTTGCTTTGCTTTAAGACACATATCAAGACTTTATAAATTAGTTGCCCAGTACAGTTGTGAACCATAAATATATTTAACCTTGAGTCATGCAAAATGAGCCTTTAAAGTAAGCAAGTGCACATTAAAATCAATGATCCTAGAAAACACATATTGGATAATGTCTTGTATAAAGAAGTAAGTGTCAAGGCAGTCAAGGAGCTGGTTAGGGACGCCTAAGGTAGGAGAATAAATCTGGCAGTGACCCTGCTAAATAATACCCTTTATGGAAAATATTCATTGACTTTGACAGGATCTTTGACTGAGCAGAGACCAGAGGTTCAACCTGCACAGCACAGTTCCTACATGTAATATGTGTCTTTACAATATATTCTTAAGAAGGGAAAGAGGTAAGGGTTAGTTTGTTGTTTTGTGTTGTGTTGTTTTGTGTTTTCTGTTTTGGGTTTTTTTACTAGGAAATATTACTTGACTATCTTGCAGGAGGTATCTAGGGAATAAGAAGCAAATTTGGCATGAGAAGTTGCACATTTCTCAATGCCTTGATTTATTTCTCCCTTCACCAAACAACCTAAAACCTAACTCCTGTGTGGAATGCCCAGGATGACCAAGAACAAGTCTCCATGAACATGCTGGTCTTTCTAGAGAACAGTGGTGCAGAAAGGTGGGGCCATACAAGTGAGCATTGTGCAGTTGGATGATTGGACAATCTGAAGCACAACACACACTTTTTGTTGAGGAGCACTGAATTTGCAGCCTCATCTTTGAAGTGCTGATCCTGCATCCTTGGCCTCCTGTGCTTTTTGTGCCTGTGTGCATGCCATTACTGTTCCCAGAGCCTGTGCAGTCATCATCTGGATGCTCTGTGGTTGTGTATTCACAGCTAAGATTTGAATACTCTCATCAACAAATCAACTCAGCTATCTATGTTGAGCACCCCTTGAAGTTATCCTTGAAATACCTTCTTGGGCACTTCCTCGTCTGTGGCGTCATTCATCACATGGAATCAGGAGTCACACGATTTCATTCAGAAGTTCAGATGATTAAGATAATCTTTCACTTTTTGGTCCCTCCTTTTTTTTCTCCTTTGCAACAGCAGAACCTCATGTCTGTAGTACTTAGGAACTGCTAATTTTAAGTCTCAATTTATTTCTGAATACATTATACCCATTTGTCTTGCCTAACAATACTGGCCTCACCATTCTCCTGTGGTTTAAAATCTTTGTAATGCTCCCTCCATAGTTTTGTTGGGCTACATCTGTGCTTTCCTAGTCTTGTTTTGTAAAGTAGGTCTCTTCCTCTCTTCTTTTATCCAAGCCACATTTGCGTATCATATTTATTTTTGAGTTGAGTTTCCTTCAATATGGGTGAAATTATATACCAGTTCTAGACAAGGTGCTTGATACAGCTGGTTAGAAAGGGCTCAGAAGGAGTGAGCATACCCTGGACTGTAAGATGGTGTTCACCTTGATGTTTTCACTGCCCCATCCCATTGCTGCCTAGTAGTTACCCTCTGGCCAAATAGTACCAACAAGTATTTCTTTTGCTTCGTTTGTTTCCAGGTGATAACCTCCAGCTCATGGCAGACATTCCTGCATTTAGCTCCTAGGTGTCTTTTCCTATTTTGCCTCACTGCATTTCTCACTTTATGCTTTACTGTGACCTTATGGTCACTCCATTTTTTTTATGTTTGATAACCAGATACTTGTCAGTCAGAGTTGGCAGCGCCTCTGAACATTGTCTCAGCGACAGCCTCAGCTGGCAGATCCTCCTTCCCTTTGGCCAAGGCTGAGCAACTGCTGCTCCCTGAGGAATTTCACCAGCAGTATGCATCAAGCCTGATGATTTGTCACCACAACACACCTCATTATCTCCCCTTTGGCCCATGTCTTACTGTATAGACATTCTTGTACTAATCCACAGCCTCTTCAGCTTAACTAACAATTCCCCGTGTGTTACTGGGGCAAAAGCTTTACTGAGCCCTCAAAAGAACAAGCCTGCAGAATTAATTACCCTTATCAAGAAAATTATTTATCTTGTCTAAAAAAATTATCAAGTTAGTCTGGCATAACCTACTGCATTCTATCTGATTTTATGTTGTGCAAATCAGCACGAATCACACATCACTCCACAGATTCAGGTGATCCTTTCAGCACAAGCAAAATCAAAATCATGTTAATGGCTCATAATCAAGGTCCCACTAACGCCAACCACTATGCACATCTGAAAAAATGAGACCCAACTTGTGGAGTTTTCTGCTTTTTAATACCTCTAAAGGCTGCAGTTTCATTCATGCTTCATAATGATTTTAGAGAATATCCAACAAGGATGAGAGTGGTTTGTAATTTTCCAAATTGATACATCACTGTATATAACATCTGACTATTTCTGAGAAAAACATATGCAAGCAGAAACGAATGTTCAGTTGGAGCCTTGTCTATGTAGAACTGGTCTAGTCAAGACTGAAATTCAAGTTCTAGGCCTATTATTTGGTAACATACTAACTATATTTTTTTAACGCTTTGATTTCTCATAATGCGGAACACTTCCAAAACAATTAACTAATCCTTCCAAGATCTTTGTAAGCGTAATATCATTATTCCCAAATTTCTAAATGGATGTAATAACACTAGCAGATCTAACAATGAGGTAAGTAGAAATAAGTTGCCTTTCTTAATGTAATAAAACAAAAACATGTATGCATCTACTTTCTCCTTCAGCACCTGTTAATGCCCAGCAGGAGTATAAATTGCAAGTACACAACCTGTAACAGCAGCTCTTCCCTTTGAAAACCAGATCTTCTGTAGATCAGCACTGGAGTCTCAAATCATCTCCTGTTGCAAAGTGAGTATGCACAGACTACTTAAAAAACAGATTA